CCCTTCCCCACCACCCCCCAGCTGCCATCCTCCCCATCCTCCCTGAGGGCCGGCCCATCTTTGAGGGGCCCCTGGGGAGCACCTGCCCCTATCAAGGGTGGGTTTATCTCCCAGACACCCACGGACATCAGTGGACCTTTTCTTCCTACTGCCATGGCTCCCCTGCAGCCAAAACGGGTCTCCTGGCCAGAGCGTGACCCACAGCTGGTGCTTATGGCTGCGGCAGAGAGAGCAGCGGGATGCAGGGATTTGGGGAGCAGTGCCCAGCGGGGTCTGGCAAGGAGAGGAAGGGAATAGAGGGAGGGAGGGATGCAGCAGCCCAGGCAGGCTTGGCACCTTCGCTCATCCCCGCTTTGGGCACAGACACCCAACAGTGGCCTGGCCGAGCTGGTGAGGGATGGGGGGGACACTCGCCGTGGGGAGCCCCTGAGCCCTGCAGAGTCCCTGGGACAGGGATGGGGCTGCTGTTCTGCTGTTCCAGCTCACCCCATGGTGCCCCTGGGGATGGGGAGGGCTTGGCTGAGTTGCAGCCTCTACAGACACCTGACTGTACCGATTCCTTCTCCGGTCTGCAAAACGCTCACCTCTCCCCCTGCAAGGGCAATGCAGCTGGAAGGGACAGCTATAAACTACTTTGTCCCCACTGTCCCAGTTCCTGGAGCTTCCTGGCAGGTTGGGACACCCCAAAGCAAGCCAACGTGGTGCTGCAAAGAACTGAGCAGGGCATGGAGCTGTTTTGGCAGCACTGGGGAAACAGGGAGCACAGCAAGGAGGAGGAGGAGAGGAAAGCTCTCTTCCCAGCACGGCTCTGCCCGCGTTTCACAGCTCCTCTCTCCCAAACAGATCCACTTGGATTTATGTCAGACTTCTGCCATCCAAAAGCTGTGACCTTTCCTGAAACCCTTGGCTTTGGCCAGCACATCCACGTGTCCCAGAGCGAGTCCCCTCCGCACGCTCCCAGCCTGGGGACCCGCATTCATTTCTACCCAAGGATGAGCCGTGCTCTGGCTCGGCACCTGCAGATATTCAAAGCCTTTCATTTCTTCAAATCCCATTAAGGTTTTGCAAAAAGCAGACCTGAGTGGGGCTTAGCATCTGCAGGGCCCTGATAACTGGGCAGCAGGCGATGCCTTGTGCCAGCTGACCCAAGGAGGAGTTGCCATGAGGTGTGGGGCTGACCTCTCCCTCTGGCTCCCTTGAAGGACTCAACCTGGGGATTTTGTAAAAAAGCAAAAACAAAACAAAAAACCCAAGCCTGAGTGGGCTGTGTAGGAACAGGGAGGGGGACAGATGGAATCCTGCTACCCTTTACATGATTTTCTGCCTGTGGTACGGCAGCAATGGGGAGCAGAGCCCCTGTGCCAGGCCCTGGCCCCAAGAAACACTGTTGGACGGACAGACTGCCTGAGAAGGGGAGGAAAGCTCCCGCCGTTCCTGTTTCTGGGAGGCTTAAGGCACAGAGAGATCAAAGGCTCATCTTCCTGGCTGTGGCAGATTTGTACTTCCCTGCGTGCTTCTTTTTTTAAGCCTTCCCCACCTCGGACCTTGTGCTGGTTGCACCCTTTTGCCTGCTGGGCAAGTCCTTGTTTGTCTGTCCTGCTGGGGAAGCGGGGACAAACAATGTACTGGGGATCACTGCAGCTTTCCCCTCCGCCAGAACATTCCTCGGAGCCCTCGGGTGAGGATGAGCTCTGAGCACAAGCTCTGTCTGGCTCTGTCCCTGCCCGGAGCAGCCGGCCGGGCTGGGTTTCCCAAGCAATGGGATTTGGGGGAGCTCAGTGGTGGCATTTCCCAGCCAACACAGGAGCAGGAGCCCCTGGCAGCTCCCGAGGGGCTTCCTGCGCCTCGCCGGACCTCTCTGGAAAGGGTCCCATGCAGGCGGGGAGCACAACGCCTGTCTTTTACTTTTTGTTCATTTATTTCAGTGGATTAGCTGTAGCTGGGGTTTCTAGCACTCGCCTTCAGGACAAGAAGGCACACGGAGCCACGTGCCCCGGGCAGGAAGGCTCGACCCCTCCCGGGATCCCTCCACTGGTGTTTTTCCGTGCTGGGGGGAGGACGCTTGTTGGTAGCACACCCTTGTGTAACTGCCTGTGTCACCCAGGACTCCCTAATGACTCTGTTTTGACTTGCGCGAGAAGTATTTAATCCACACCAAGATGCAGGATTTCCCAGGATTATTCCTGAGAGCGGATGTGTCGCTCTGCGGCCCCAGATCAGACTAAACCCGTCTGCAGTGACACCTCTCCGGGGAGGGGTGGGCAGGGGCATCTGGGGGGCCCGGGACCTGGCCACGTACCTTCCCGGTGGAGCCCTGGGCTGGGTCGTGCTGTGTAGCAGTGCCGTGAAGTCTAGGTCGTGTGTGAGTGGTGTCCCACGCTGTACATGTGGACTTTCTAAACTCCTTAATAAAAGGAACTCATCGTTAGCTGGCGTGTCAGCGGCTGCGCCATGGGTGGGGACATCGCCGGAGGAACCTGTTGCGGTGACGGCAAAGGGAGCGGTGCTGGATTGCCGGGGATGGCTCCATCCCCGCGCCGGGCTCACTGCGTGGCATACCCAGGAGCTGGCCCGTTGTGGGCTTGGCCTGTCCAAACCACTCTGCAAAACTGCTGGGGAGGGCTGGGGAGAACCTGCGGGGCAGGAACGGGGCAGTGGAGGTTTCTGAGGGCTCCAGGGGCTGCAGCCCAAAGCCAGGCACCACAGGTGGTCCTGGGGCTAGGACAGAGGATGGTGGCAGGTCTCAGGGTCGAGGGGACCTGCTCCCCTGTGCCTGTGCTGATGGGCAGAGCACCAAGGGGTGCCCCAACCCCTTCCTGCTGAGCTGGGTGCTGCCCACCCCACACCCCGCTGTGCCCCAGGCCAGGACGGACCCAGGAGGGGACAGCTGAGTGCCAGGCATCGGGGTCCCACGCTTTAGCAGGGGTGGCTGCCAGCACCGGCCAGGGATGGAGGCTTGTGCGTGCAGGTCCAGTCCCTGAGAGGGTTTGGGGGTGCAGGGATCTCTGCCAGTGCCTGCCCCCCCACCACAGCTGCACAGACATCTGGGACCCCCAACAGCCACATCCACCAAGGGCGTGGGGGACATCCATGCCCCGCGATGAGACCCTCCCTCCCACCAGCGCCGCTGCCAGGGACTCAAGGCCATCTCCAGCGTGGCGCACGCTCCTCCAAACGAAGGCGGCAAACGAAGGAGGCGCGTTAATTAGCTGTGGCGACGTGCTCCCATTGTGGTGGCTTGGCCAGCCCCCGTCCCCCCCTCCAGCCCCCTCCCCGCAGGGTTCCCAGCCTCTGCTCTGGGCAGCCACAGCCCTGCGAGGCGGCCACACGCTCGAGGGGTGACACGGCAATTAGCGCCGGCGGGTATTTAATGGCCAGCAAGGCGGGCTGGCCAGCTCAGTCCGGGCACGGGCTCGAGGCGTCACGGAGCAGGGCCGGGGCAGGCAGCGCTGGGGCATCGGCCGAGGTGCAGAGGTGAGTTGCTGGCGGCCGTCTGTCCGTCTGTCCTCCCCTGCTTGCCTGCTTTGTACTGTGCCTCGACAGGCAGCGCAGCCAGCGAGGAGGCGAAGGCTGGGGGGAGGCAGCTGAGAGCAACAGGCAGGGCAAGGCAGGGCACCCCCTGGCACCCCCAACCCCCGCAGTGGGGCGCAGCAGCACCCAGCGCTGGTGCTGGGAAGGTGCTCCCTGCTCTGGCTGCACCTAGCGATTTGGTTCCACGATGGGCAACTGGGTGCAAAAGGGGAGAGCTCAGAGCAGCGGTAAGTGTGAATGAGGCAGGGAGCACCCCAGAGAGAAGCCCACAGGCAGGGGGGGTGCTGGGGAGTGTAAGCGGGGGCTGGGGCTAAGCTGGGTCTGGCACAGGAGCAAGGAGCACCCGCAGCAGCACCCCACCCTGCAAGACCCCCTGGCCCCCATCACCTGCAGGGGGGCTTTTAAGGCAACAACTGCGGCAGAAAAAAATAATAATAAAAAAAACCATTTTCCCTTTCTGAGCCTTTGCAGGAGGAGGAAAGGGAGGCAGAGCAGCCCTGGCTGTGCTCAAGGTCACCCTGGGTGCCTGCGGCATTGCTGCACGCGGCCCAGGACCGTGCTCCCCCCCGCTCTGCTCAGCAGACCCTGCTGCCGGCGGGGCACCTCCGAGCCCCATAAAGCAGAGGGATGTCGAGCACCTTCCTCCGCGCTCGCATTAGCCAGGCACTGCAGGTAGGACCTGAGCGCTGGGAAGATAAGGCCGGCTCAGGTGAATGCACTTAAGTCCTCCCCGCAGTGCCTCTGAGAGGAGCAGGCAGCTCCGGAGCCCATCAGCCTGCCCGGCTAATAGCCCACTCAGCCAGCCCCAGCCAAGCAGAGCCCAGCTCTTGGCTGCCAACCAGGGAAGTAGCTGCAAGGCTGTAATTTGTGAGCACGGAGTTGCTAAAGATGAAGGGGAGCAGGTTTGAAAGGGGCAAAGCGAGCTCGGCACCCCCGCCAGCACCCCCACTGCAGCCAGGTGCTGGCATAGAGGCTGCAGGAGGAGTGGTGGGTGCTGGAGGGGTTGCTCGCAGGGTGTTGGGGTGCCAGGGCTGGTTTGTGGGTGCTGCAGCAGGGATGGGGAACTCACGCTAGCTGAGGACAGCCCTCGCTGCTGCTTTAGCCGCTGCCTGAGGATGCTCTGCGGTTTACCGATGTGTTTTTCCATTCCTGTGCTTCCCCTAGATGAGAGCACCCTACTCTCTGTCCTGCCTCTTCCTCCTGAGCCTGGGGGTCTGCTTCCCCCCCAGCGAGCGGCAGGAGCTGGGACACCCCGTGGAAGGGACCCCGCTTGAGCCCAGCTGGCGAGCAGCAGCTGAGGACTCAGGTGCCGGCTGGAGGGCAGGAGCGAAGCGGAGGCGAAGCGAGGAGCTGAGCAGGCTGCTGGGCATCGCCCGAGAGCTGCGGGGCTACGGCAAGGAGGGGGCCGGGCAGCGGCCAGGCAGGCAGGGGGGCTCCGAGCTGCTGCCGGCGGGAGGGGAGAAGCGCAGCGGCACACTGGGGAACCTGGCCGAGGAGCTCAACGGCTACAACAGGAGAAAAGGGGGCTTTACCTTCCGCTTTGGGAGATGAGGGCCTGGACTCGATCCCCCCCCTTCTTGCGGGTCGCCCCATCCCATCCTTCCCTTCTATCTCACCTAGGTTTGCTCAGACAAAAGGGTATTGGGGGGTTTTGCTGCTGGGATTGCCTTGGGGAGGGGGGGTCACCGAGTTTACTCCACTTGCAGCCCTGCTCCAGATCTCACATCCTCGTTTCCAGCCGGTGCAATAGAAGAAGAGGAGGGTGTCTTAAAAAGAAGCCACCCTGTCCCTTCCCCGGTCACACACAGCCTTTGCTGGGGCACAGGGAAAGGGCTCGCACCGGGTCCCACCGCCGCAGTGCAGGCAGAGAGCAGGGATGGCACCCCAGGACAGGCAGGGGCAGCAGGGCCAGGCACCGAGGCTGGAGAGGTACAGCCGGATAGTCCTGGAGGTGACAGTCCCCTGGGGACTGCAGCTGCCAGCCAGGGCAGGACTGTCGGGGAGGAGAAGGTCCCTCAGAGCTCCCCATGGAGTCACAGAGCTGCTGCTCTCCTGTCTATTAAGGAAAAGTCCCTCCGGCAGCAAATTCTGCTTAGTGTCAAGATGCCACCAGGACAGAGCAGCGGCGTTCGAGAAAATCTTGTCCTTAGAAATTCCTGGCATGAGCACGGAAACCTGCCCAGGCACCACCAGCCCTGCTGCAGTCCCACTGCCCTGCTCACATTACAACCCCAAGACTCGTCCTCAGATGCCACCAGCATCCTTGCAGGAGTGAGATGGTGATGACTGACCTTCAGCGTCCCTGTCACATCACCCCAGCTCTTGCCTAAAAGCCTGGCCCTTCCTAATCTGCCTCACCACCACCTATTCCCAGCTGTAGCCGCTGCAGAAACTTGGGTGCAGAGGGGCTGAACCAAGAGACTCCTGCGCCTACCTGGGGCCACCAACGGGTGCTCGTGTCTTCCTGCTCTCCGGTCCCCTCTGCTGCCAGTGGTGCAGCCTGGGGGATCACTACCCCCAAAAAGCCAGCACAGCCACAGCTGCGAAGGAGAAGCCCAACTATTCAGCGGCTGCCTTCTCCTCCTTTGGGCAGATTTAGCTCTGCCAATGCCAACAATGACGTTTGCTTTTGTGCCTGCCACTGCAGGCAGAGATATTAGTAATCAGAGGTCTAACTACCTGGCTTGCAGGCACTAACTGCAAGTTAGACACCTAACGACTGCTAATATTTCATTGCAGGCACAAAAATGAAGCAGGGCAATGATTTGCAAGCGCTAAATTGCACTCTCAAAATCAAAGACCGTGGCAGGACTTGGTTAGAGGGAAAAAAAAAAAGAAAAAAAGAAAAAAAGAAAAAAAAAATCAGGCTCCAAGAGGTGCATTGTAATATCCATCAAGCAGACAGACCACTTAATACAGTGCTGCCAGGGCCGGCACGAGCTGTTCTCGCAGCGGGAGCAGCGTGTAACTGAAGGCTGAATGGAGGCGAGCTGGAATCTGCAAGAAAACACCAGCCGTGGGGCTGGCAGGTCGAGGGAGGAGTGATGGAGGCACAGGAGTGGGCTCCTCCCAGCCCCACGGGTCCAGAACGGGAGGGACTCCAGCTCTGCAGGGACACAGACGATGCCAGGATTTGGCCCTCGCAGGAGGACAAAGGAGAGGAAGGGCATTTTCCTTCCCCTGCATCTCTGCTGCAGTAACAATCGCGCACCGCAGGGACCACAGCGGTGACCAACAAACCCGGTGGCTGAGCCCGTACAGCCCCCCCCAACCCTGGGCACCCCCAAACCCACCTCCGATCCCTCTCGCCTCCCACCCCGGCAAAGGCCGCTGGTTCGGGGGATGCAGGCGCAGCGCTTGCATCACGCAGCGGAGGAGACGGGAGCTTTATCGATGTTTCTATGGCAACGTCTCTTCTTTTTTTTTTTTCCCCCTTTCTTTTGAGTGTTCAAACCATCAATAAATATGCACTGATCAATTTTACCCTGCGCTGGAGTTGGGGGGAGGGATGGGAGGGAGAAAGGGGAAAGAGTTTTGGAGTAACGCTGGGTTAGTGAGGGCTGGTAAATCCCTGGCTTTGCCGTGATGGATCATTGCAGGGAAAGTGGCACTGTCTGCTGCAGGAAGGGAAAGGAAACCTGCTGAGTGATGCTGGGGCCTGGGCTCCTGCTCTCAAGTCCAGGAGAGGAAAAGGGTCAGAGCAGCATGATAAAACCCCACGTATAATGAGGCTTTGATTGAAGCACGATAACCCTCTGTATAACTGATTTAAAAGTAAAAGCCAGCGCTTCCCACAGTGCTTACCTGGCAGGTGGGACAGTGCCAGGCTCAGCCCGAGCGCCCAGGGGGCTCCTTGACGGGCAGCTCTGTGCCATGGGGGCGATGCCATCACCCGCCAGGAGGAAAGGGGCTCCCGACAGGCTGCGGGGGGGCAGTCGAGGGGCTGCGGCAGCTCCGGAGCACCCTTGGCACGCGTTAGGATGGCTGATGTGCTTGGGAAAAGGCAGTGCTCCAGGCTTTTTGCTATTGCTGCTTGGTGACTGAGGTTGGGGGGAGGAGGAGGAGGTAAAAGTGAATGGAAAATAACTGCCTGATGTTTGGGGGTGTTGTCCCAGAGTGGGGAACACAGCAGGAGCAACCCCCAGGAGGCTGGAAAGCCCATCCCTGCACGCTGGACGTGGTGTCTCCCATCCAGTTCCCAAGGGAACATACACCCACACCCCCCAATTCCTCCCCTCCCAGGGGTCACCCAGACCCCCAACACCTTGAAGAGCTGAAGAGCTCCCAGCCTACCCACACACCCAGCCGTGAGGAGCTGGATTCACTGTGGCACAGCGGGGACAACTTGCCTGAGCGCTGGCACCAACCACCTGCCCCATGAGCCAACCTGCAAAGGGACAGCACCAAACGGGCCCTGGATTCTTCCACACAAGGCCAACCCAGTCAGCAAGGACCGACGCAGACACTTGCTGCCAACATCACCACTGCTGGGACCCCTATAAAACGCCCTGTTATCCTTCCCTGACCAGGGTACAACCCTCGTCCTTGCCCCAGCCCCATCTCTGCTCATCCGCTCCATTCACACAGGCTGCTCCGCATCTTTCCTCCACCCCGAGCAGCCCTGCAGCACTATAAACACACACACAACGGGCACTGCAAATCTCAGAAACCCAAGTAGTCCTCTGTAGAGAAAGAGCCCGATTTAATCCCGTCCAAGGGACTCATGAAGAGGCTAATGCATCATAACTGGGTCATTCAGCACCGCAGCTTTGGGAGCACATGAAGGACCTTTATCAGCAGGCTGGATGTTAGAACAAACACACAACCTTCAACAGGGGGACAATGGCTGGGAAAACACTTCAGCGTAGGCTTCATTTGCAGGTAAACTTTTGGCTGAGCTGGATCTACCATTGAAAAAACACTGAGCAGCACTCCACTGTCAGGGAGGACAGTTTTGAGCCCAGCCTAAAATAGCCAATTGACTTGCAGGGCTGTAGTCCCTAACCCCGTGGCTAACCAAGGCCACTGCCAAGGCAGCAGGGCTGACCAGGCTGATCCGGGAGCATCATTTCCAGCAACCTGCCCAGGCCAGGGCTCACCCTCACCCAGGAGCCCGTCCTGCTCCACTGCCAGCCCGCTTTTACATGTGCACAATGCCACGAACTCTTCAGATGTGACAGAGCTTGGATATATTTTCCTGTTTTCAATCATGAAAGGATTAACGTCAGACAAGGAAGAGGCTGTCAGTTGGGCCCCTGGGGGCAGGCAGTGCTCCCGCACACCTGAGTGCTGCTGGTCCAGCAGCGCATCTACAAGACAGGCTGCCACACCAGCCTATCTTTAATAACTTTTCTTTTGAGAAAGAGAATGAGCATAAAACACTGACCACATCTTGTGACAAGCAACTTCTCAACAAAAGGCAGGATGACATTAAAGAAAAACTTAAAAAGGGTGAACATTGTCATTTCAAAGACATGAAAACCAAAACAAAAACACAAACACAGCTATTTTTCCCCAAGAGCTCTCTCACTTTCAAGCTCAATAGCCTTGAAAATTGGAGCAATCAAACTGTTAAATGCATTGATCTGTTAAATCAACTCCTACTGTACTCGGCTAAATTTAGCCTTTAATCCCCTCTCTTTCACTCCCAACACTACAGAACCCAGGGCTTTCCCCAGCCAGGTCAACTGGCCTCTGCCTTCCCACACCACCATGGACTGGTCCCTAAGCAAGCAGTGATGGAGATCACCAGGAGTGATTGCATTTAGGGGCAGGTTAAGCTTCTCTATCTTCCCTCAGCCCACAACTATTCAAGCCTTTCTGATGGAGATGTACACAAAGAGCAGCCTGGACACTGATCTTTGCCAGGATCATTGTCACAAAACCACCAGGAACACCTTGTAGCCCTGCATGTACGTTCACTGGACACCACACCACTTCGCTGAAAAGTAGCCTGAGCCTTGCCAAGTGCAGGCCATTAATTGCACTTACCCTTGCCAACAGCAACCTCCTGCTCCTCTTTTCATCTTCAGGCTCATTTAGAAGTGGCCCAGTGCAATCGCTGTCACACCAAGGTTTCCAATAAGCCTTGTTCCCATGGCCCACGAGCGAGCGGTTCCCTGCGCCAGGACTGACAGATTTCAGCAGGGACTGGTTGAGGTGATTAGAAATCGGTCAAGCTGGGTTGTGACTCTAAAACATCACTGAGCAACATAGCACTCACTGTCACCTGCCCTTGTTTTGTTCTCATCCTTTTTTGGTCTTTAGCATCTTAATTAATCAAGGCAGTATTTTGTTTTAGAGGCTGCTTAGTACCTGGATATGTCCCCTCCCTAAAGATTTGCTGGAAAGGCTGAAGGTCTGCAAACAGAAAACAAGCCTGGACAGCAAGAAATGAGGGAGGGAGCAGCCAGAACCATCTGAGGAGAGAAACTCATGGGTCCTTTCACAGCAGAGGAGGAGGAAAACACAACAGCAGCTGAATTAGAGAATACAACTAACAGGAAGAAAAGTTTAAAATCAAATCTCTGATTTAAATCTCATTGAAGACAACTGCAAAGTCTTTGCTGCAAAGGACATGATGGCACAATCTTCTCTTTTTTTTTTTTTTCTCTCCTGACTTCTCAAAGCCAGATCCAAAGGACACAGAAAGGTGCTGCTGCCTGGCTCTGGCCAGCCTGCTGTGCCAAAGGGCCCCAGTGAACCACCCCAACAGGGAACTCCTCTTTTCAGAACTGGGTTTGAAAAGCCTTGCTAACAGACAACCACAGGTTTTCCTCAACATTGATTTATTTTTAAATATACTACGCAAGAGAGACTGGAATAAAAAATAAATCAAAAAAATGAAAAACAGAGAGAGAAAGGAGAAAGAATTGAAAGTCGTGTACA